GATCTCCCCTCTGGGCTCCCCTCCCTAAATGCTGGTAAGAGCCAATGCTGTTAGGGTGAAGGCTTGAGTCGGAAAGGCATTCCAGCTCTCCCAACTACTTCACTATCCCCGCTATCTGCCACAGTGGTCACGAGCAGGAAACTGGATCAGAAGCAAATGCTGAGAATGTGACTATTCATCTCTACAACTCCTTCCATTGGAACTGATGCCTTAAATCAAGCATCATAATATTATATGTGTGTGTGTGTGTCTCCTCTGATCCACTAATAACTGCATTCTAACTTTAAAAAGAGGTATTATGTTGACTTTCATTAACATGTGACTTCACTTCACTTTCCACGGGTGTGTTAACTTTCTTTCCAAAGCAAGTTTCTCCACTAAAACTCACCCTAGACCACTAAAAGTTAACTTTTGGTAATAATCCTTTGATTAGAAAGTAAGGATTTAATTTCTACTAACACATTATTAGGGGTGAATGCATGGAGGATTTTTAAAAGATGGCGCCAGATTTTGCATCTCCCATCTAGTTTCTGCAAGCAACAGGTATGCTGACAGGTAGCAAGATATGCAAATATACAGAACATAAAACCTCTTACATGTAAGGAGCAGGCACTGTGGCAGCGGTTCGGCTCCTTGGGAACCTACATCGAGTCCTTGCTCCAGGTTAGGAACAATGTGGGAGGCAGTAAGTGATGACTCATGTACCTGGGTCCCTGCCACCCACGGGGAGCCCAAGATGAAGTTTCAAGCACCCGGCTTCATCCTAGCCCAGCCTGCACTACCAGAAGCAGCATTTACGGAGTGAACCAGCAAAGATTTACCATCTCTAATAAATAAACGCAGACCTGCCTCAAGATATCAAGATTCTGGGCCAGCATGGTAGCCGAGTGGCTGAAGTTCTCGCCAGGATCCCATATGGGAGCCAGTTCTAATCCTGGCTGATCCACTTCCCTTTCAGCTCCCTGCTTGTGGCCTGGGAAAGTAGTCGAGGACAGCCCAAAGGCTTGGACCCTGCTCCTGTGTAGGAGACCCAAAGAAAGCTCCAGGCTCCTGGCTTCAGATTGGCTCAGCTCTAGCCGTTGTGGTCACTTGGGGAGTGAACCAGCAGACAGAAGATCTCTCTCTCTGCTTTTTCCTCTTCTCTGTAAATCTGACTTTCCAATAGAAATAAATAAATCTTAAAAAAATAAAAAAAAAGAAAGAAAGAAAAAAAAAAAAAGGAGAGTTCCACTGCTATCACTTGGTAAAACTGTTTCATGGCGGTAATGTAGTACCAGCGGGCAGAGCTGTTAAGGAAGTTATAAGGACAACAGGCAGCAAAGGGAAAAGCTAGTTTATTCGATCCAACACAACGCAGCAACCAATTACCCACTGTCACAGGAGTAGCCACTGAAGAAAAACACCACTCCCTAGGTTGACCTTTGAAGCATCATTCTCTGCTTCTCAAATTTCTTAGACTATGCAACTCAACCCTACAGATTCAATCATAAATGAACCTCTGATTCACAGGTGTTTAGAGGTCACTGGATGTAAAACCTTTGTATTTCAGAAAGCCCTTTCCTAAAAATCCCCGACATGCTCTTCAGTCCTTCATAAAGAACATCTGAACAGGGCCCCAGGCCTGGAAGCACTCAGGTGCCGCCCACCTCCCCCGGGCCCTGCCATTACTAACTCCGCAGGTCAGGCTTGCACTTTTCCAGCCCCATTTCTTTACCTTCAAAAGTCCCTTGTGGTCTTAACACTGAAGAATTATGGTTTCCAGGAAAGTTTATTCTTTCAATAACAAATTCAGTCCATTTTTAGATAGTTCTAATGATTAGAAAGAACTTTGGAAAATTCCAAATATTTTTCAAGAAAGTACTTTTTCTTTTACATTTACTCTAGTTTTTTAAAAAAATATATCCGTATGTGTGTGTAGAAAATAACTCCTACAAGCATTATTTGTGCTAGCAAAAACAAACTTTGAACGCATCCATTAATAAATAAACACAACAAGATATCATACTGTGGAATGGTAAGCAGCAGCTTTAAACAATGACACAAACTATATACTCAATAGCAAGGAAGATGGCAAAAATATTCTGTTAACAAAAGTTGCAGAGCGAAAAAAAAAACCAATTTAACTTTACAGAAATTTTAGATATGCAAAATTCAGTATGGTAGCCACTGACCACATAAAGAAAAACCAAATTTTAAATCCTAGTTAATTTTAATCACTTTAAATCTAAATGTATGGGGCTGTGGACAATTTCTAAGGTAATCCTAGAACTAAACAATCTAAACTAGCTAATTGTTAGTTATCTCTGGAGACAGACTAGCTGAGAGGGTAGGGACGCAGTAAGGCAAACTTTGGCTTTACCTGCCTTACATAAATGTTTTAAAGCAAATAATGGCTATTATTACACAGAAGTACAAAAAAGAAAAAGTCTTGTTTTTTTTTTTTTTTGATTTATTTTTATTATTTTTTCATTGGAAAGGCGGATATACAGAGAGGAGAGACAGAGAGGAAGATCTTCCATCCGATGATTCACTCCCCAAGTGAGCGCAACGGGCCGATACTATGCCGATCCGAAGCCAGGAGCCTCTTCCGGGTCTCCCACGCGGGTGCAGGGTCCCAAAGCTTTGGGCCGTCCTCGACTGCTTTCCCAGGCCACAGGCAGGGAGCTGGAAGGGAAGCGGGGCTGCCGGGATTAGAACCGGCGCCCATATGGGATCCCGGGCGTGCAAGGCGAGGACTTAACCACTTGCGCCACCGCGCCGGGCCCGAAAAAGTCTTGTTGATAATGAATGAACACATAGTTTTTCTCTTCTGCCCCACCTGGAGAGACTGGACAAGCATGGTATGGTAGTTTCCTACCTCTTCATGCCCACCCCCCAAAAAAAGACCCTTTAAATCAAACTCCCTGCCTTTGTTTTGCTTTGTTTTGTTTTGACAACCAAAGTAGCTTGCTGGTAGTAATACTGCAACTTTATGATGGGAGCAGAATGCACTTTCTGAGAATATTTTCTAAGGGATGACGAATTTGTCTCTCTGCAACAACCCTCCTGACAGTGGGGAGAAGTGTTACAGCTCCCTAAGTTTTCTCCAAGCCAAGCTCTCCAGTTCTTACCAGAAGCAGAGCGAGAACCTTTGGACACCACAAGGCTCTCCTAGGGCTCCACCACACAGTGACACAGGGCAGAACCTTCCATCGAAGACACAGCCTAAGCACCTCACTGATCCTGCATGTGCTTCTTGGTTTAGTGTTGCTGTGATGTAGGCCACACCTGCACTTATGGGGCGGGAGTAACGAACAGCTATGCACCGCAACAGAGCTCTGCCCCCCAGGCTCTCCTGGGCTTGGCAAACACTGGGGGAGAATGTCCTGCCAGCCACTCCAACTTCCCTTGCGCTCAAGAGAGGCAGCAACAAGAGCCCGCACAACTCTAAGTTTGTAATGCAAGAAAACGGAAATCTATGTAGCCTGTCCAAATATCCCAACACCACATGGCAAGCCCAGGAGTAATTCCCAAAGGTTCCTTGGACCCAGTTTTCTACAACCTACAACAAAAATGTGAACAAGAACAGCTTCTAATGGTTACTCTTTACTCTAACGCCACTTCTTTTTTTTTTTTTTTAATTAGAAGTTTCTAACTCTTGATGAAATGGTCTAATACAAACAGAAAAGTCTTTGGTTTTGGTTTTGTTTTGTTTTTTCAGTCTTACTTGCCAAATAACGCAGGACTCAAGACTCCATACCAAAGATTTGTTGATATTTGATTCATTCATGCCATCCAGTCAGCCCAAGATGTTCCCCCTGAACACACACGCACCCCACAGGTGACAGCCCTTCCAAGGAAGAGTTCAATCATGATCTTCCGATGAAAGCTTCTCTCTTTCCCTGTATTATTCACAAGAACATTATCACCACGGGGAAGTCAAACAAAGTGCGCTGGTGACAGTAACAATAGTAATGGATGCCAGATACTACAGTAACAACGAAAGTAACTAAAGTCTCCTCCCCCCCCCCAAAAAAAAAGTAACCAAATTCATTCTTCTCAGCTAACTATGGTTAGTCTTAAGTATCATCCTTACTGGGGAAAAAAAAAAAAAAGTTTTTAAGCTCCAGAAATGGAAGGGTGGGTAAGAAGACAGGAAAATCCCCACATTAAATAGCTTAATAACAACTGCACCACAGAACTAAAGTTTGTCACTGACAGCGATAAAAGTACAAGTTCTACTTCGCAGCTGTGACACCAGGTTCTCAAAGGACACTTCACTCCCTCTACCCCACTCCTCCTCCCCCCCAAAATGCAAGTGAGCACCCTGGAAGCTGTTCCCTCTTACAAAAGAAGCAAGACAAATGCCAGGTAGCTTAAGCAAAGGGAGGCCAAGCATGTCCCAAATTCCCCTCTTCCAAAGCCCGCTCAGCCCTCTGCTGGGGCATGTGACCTTGTGCAAGTCACTGGCTCCCCCCAAGCCCCCTAGATGCTAGCCCCACAGCCACTGTCAGTCCTCCCGCACAGGACTCAACACTCCTGCATCCAAGAACCAACGTGTCTCCTCAGCGTGGACTGGAGCAATCAACCCGCATGTATACACAAAGTTCTAGCACAATCACTGAGTTTGGTGGCAACCGCTCAATACAAGTCAACTGGTGTTGCCACGAGCAGCCAGCACAACCTGTGGGGGAAACCTCTCTGCAGGTTGAAACGGGAAGGGGCAACCCCTTCAGCACCCAGCAATATCTCACACACTCTCCAATAACAGATGACCCCTGAACGCTAGGCAGCCGACCTCAGCTATTAAAAGACCTTCGGGAGACTTCCAGGTCGGTGCACTTCACCACACAGGCCCCAAGCAAGCCCAGGACCCCCTCGGGACGTCCCCGGGCGGCCGGGGAGCCCCCTCCTCGGCCGAGGAGGAGGAGGAGGAGGAGGAGGAGAGCGATGCGCGGGGCGGGGGACCGAGGAAGGGGAGGCAGGGCGGCAGCATCCCTGCGCCGGGCGCACAGACCCACCTTGAGCAGGATGGACGGCGGCAGCTGGTTGATGTCTGGGCTTTCGGGGGGCGGCTCCCTGGGACAGTCGCAGGGGTTTCCGGGGGGCTCCTGACAGCCCGCGTCTCTGCATTCATGCTGCTGCTGCTGCTGCTGCGGGGCGGGCGAGGGGGCGGTGCCCCCGGCCCCGGCGGTCTCGGAGGGGGCTCCTTCGGGGGACGAGGGCGGGGGGCAGAGCGGTGGCGGCGGGGGCTGCTCGGGGGCCTGGCAGCAGCCGGCGTCGGGGGGCCGCGGCGGCGAGGCGCCTCCCCCGGCAGGCCCTCCTCCTCCTCCTCCTCCTCCTCCGCCGCCGCCGCCGCCGCAGCCCCCGCCGCCGCAGCGGGGCTGCTTGCAGGGGGTGCAGGCGGGGACCCCGGCCCCTTTGCGCTTGCACACCATCTCGGGGGGCGTGGAGGGCTCGGCCGGCGGCGGCGGAGGCGACGGAGGCGGCGGCCCCCGGAAGAGCTGCACGGCGGCGGCGGGAGGCCCCAGGAAGCGCACGGGCCCCACGCTGGCCAGGAAGAGGCTCCGGCCCTGCTGCTCCCAGGCGGCGGCCGCGGCCAGCCCCAGCTCTTTACAGCACGAGGCCGGCGACGAGGCCGAGGCGGCGGCGGCGGCGGCGGCAGCAGCGGCGGCCGAGGATAACAGGAAGCGGCGGGCGGCGGCGGCGGCGCAGTCCTCGGCGGCCAGGGCCGCGCAGCGCCGCGCCAGGTGCTGCGAGGAGGAGGAGGCGGCGTTGTAGGCCCCGTCCCGCGGCAGCAGAGGCAGCGGCAGCGGCGGCGGCGGCGGCGAGAGCGGCGGCTCCTCCTCTGGGCCGGCGGGGGCGGGCGCGCCGGGGCTGTGCACGATGAAGCAGAGCATGCAGGGCCCGCGGAAGAAGCAGTCCCGGCTCCCGGGCGCCGTAGCCGCCGCCGCCGCCGCCGCAGCAGCAGCAGCAGCAGCAGCAGCCGCCGCCGCCGGAGGAGGAGAAGGAGGAGGAGGAGGAGGCGCTTTAGCCGGGGTCCGGCGGGGCAGCCTGAGGAGGGGACGCCGGCGGCGGCACCAGCTGCAACAGCGAGGCCTCTTCTGGCTCGGGCGCTTACGCGGTTCCTTCGACACAAGGTGGCCCATATAGAAAGGCCCCGAGGCAACGGCGGGGAGGTGGGGGCGCCGGGGCGGGGAGGGGGCGAGGCGCAGACGGGCGGCCTCCGGCCGCGCCGAACGGGGTCGCCCGGCCCGGCGCACACGCGCGACGGAGGGGGTGGAGTGGGGCGTCAAGCTGCGGGCCGCCCCGGGTGCCCGACGACGGGGCTACATGCTTTGCCCAGGGAAGCCGGGAGAACGCTGGGCGCGAGCTTTTTTAGGAGGTACGCGAGGGAAAGGTGGGGAGGGGGGGATTAGGGCTGGGATGGGGAGGAGAGGAGAAGGGGAGGTGAGGGGACGAGCGAGCCCCTGCCGGCTCGGTAACCAATTCCCAGACCCGGCCGGCCGGCTCAGTCAGTCAGCGCGAACCATTTTTTAACTGCGGCTCCTCCGGGGGGCGCGCGCGGGCGCGCTCGCTCGCGACTCGGCTGCGGGGGCGCGCGCGGCGCGTGCCCGGAGGGGCGGAGCTGGCCGCGGCGGGGCGCGCGCTCTTAGGGTGGGGACGCCGGAGCCTGGCTGCTCGCCCGGGACTTGGTGTGAGGTGGCTGCCTTGTTGGTGGGGGTGCCGCGCGCACCCCTGCCCCGACCCTCCCGTCGCCCCACCAGTCGCTCGGTGCCCTTCTCCAAGGCGGGAGGAGGAGGAGGAGGAGGAGACAGCTGTGTGACATCCGTTTCCACAGCCGCACTGACGTCTTGAGGTGTAAGTTCAAGAGCTGCCATTGGCCAGGAGCCGCTAGGGCTCTTCCCCTCACCTTCCACCCGCGTCGTCACCCCCCGACTCGGAAACTGAGGCCACTTCGCAGCCGTAAAGCGGGTTCTGCCGCAAGGGCCGATCCGATCCGGATCCCTGACCCGGCCGGCGTGGACGGGTGCCCAGCTGTGTCCTGAGGAGCGTCCCGCGGCTGTGCGACACCGCTGCTTTTCCCACTTGTTGCACAGGCGCTGCTGCTTTGCCACTACTTTATTTCGAAATGAGATCACTTAGCGAATCACCTACATGAACTGAAAGATAACAACGGTTTTCGCGACCCAGTGAGTCGCTCAGCAGCCCATATTACGAGCCGTAGATGACGGTTTTGTCTGCACCCTGGGTCTCCCGGCCGTCCCCTCATCAAATACTTGAGACATTACTTGAACTTTGTAATGGTGGTAGTGGTGGTCCAGATAAGCAAGAGGAAAAAAGGCTTGCAGGGAGTCCCGTGGAAGCTTGAGTGCTGGCGTGAGAGACTAGAGCAGTACCCAGGGTGGACACAAGGTTGGCTTCCAGGAGGGAGATACGTCAGGAGGTTTCACTACACGTAGCATGCTCCCTGGCCCTCAGCGTGGATAAATCAGAAACAAATGGGAGTTTTTCTTTGGCTGACAGTTGTGGAGGTTGGAGATGCCAGAGGTCTGGCAGTGAGGCCTGCATGCTGGGGAGAATGCAGATGGAGCCTCATTCTTGTCAGGAACCCACAGGTGCTGGGATTAATCCATTCCTGAGCTGGAGTGCCCCTGACTGTATCACCTCAACGCCGCCCTGCCCTCCCCTTTAGTGTTACAGTGACAATACAGTTGCAACCAACAGGTTCAAACCCTAGCAGCCAGTCAACAGGAGCTAAAAGGGGTAAGAAGTTGAAGAGTCCTTTAGGATGGATAGTATCTTTGCTGTGACTGGAGGGAATAAGGGATGGATAAAGCATTGGTTGGTACAGGGATTTCTGGAAGGAAAGTACAGCTTTCTATCGGATGGTTTCTATTTTCAGTTGAGGTGTGGTTAACCTGCTTGAGGTTTCCGTGATAAGTGGCAGGTATAAAGTAAGGCTAGGGTAGGAGGTTCTTGGCTTGAACCCAGGACAGGTCCTGTAACATCCTGTACCATCCTCTACATGCTGCAGTTACAACAAAAGTTCTTCTCCCTGTATCAGAATTGTGGCCCTGGTACTAACCTATTCTCCCGTGCCAAGAGCTCTCTGGATACAGTCCTCTAAAGGGAGGTCTTACGGAACAGAGCAGGGCAGGCAGGATGGAGCTGGGCAGCCCTGGTACTTGAGAGGAGTCAGTCGCTTCACTTTTATCAGATATTCCTCTTCCCCCGCCCTCCCAAAAAAAAAAACTTGTTTATTTTTATTGGAAAGGTTTACAGAGAGGAGAGACAAAGATCTTGCATCTGTTGGTTCACTGCCCAGATGGCCAGAACAGAGCTGATCCAAAGCCAGGAACTGCTTCCAGGTCTTGCACACGGGTGCGGGGTCCTAAGGATTTGGGCCGTCCTCCATTGCTTTCTCAGGCCTCAAGCAGGGAGCTGGATGGGAAGTGGAAGCAAAAAATGAATTTTGGAACTCATTTCCCTAGTTAATGCAGATAAATACTCAGAAAACAGTTGTAAATAACAACTATAGACAACAATCATACAAGTGTGTTGATGGATAGACTTGTGGGGGAAAATAATATCAGTCGTCTAGAGCTGGGAGCTGGATGGAAGCCATCAACTTGACCCTGGTGCTGCTGAGAGATGGCTGGTGTTCTCAATGACAAAGGAGCGTATTGTTGACTGGAAACCATCTCAAAATACATCAGCATCAGGTATGGTCCTCTGTAACTACAACAGAAAAGACAAAAGATTCTCTCCATAATCAGGTCTGAGTCCAAAAAAAAAAAAAAAAAAAAGCAAAGACATTCTGCAAACCGCAATGATGACAAAATGTTCTACGTGACTATTATGACTGTTTGTACCTGCTATTTCATCACCACCCACAAGCTTAGCCTTGCTCTATTCTTCCAGACTTCTAGATAACGAATTTTTTTAAGCATTGATTTTTTTTTAAGATTTATTTATTTTTATTGGAAAGCAGCTATACAGAACTTCCATCTGCTGGCTCACACCATAGTGGCCAGAGCTAAGCCAAGCAAGAACTTCTTCCAGGTCTCCCATGTGGGTACAGTGACCCAAGGCTTTGAGCCATCTTCTACTACTTTCCCAGCCTACCAGCAGGGAGCTAGATGGGAAGTGGAGCACCCATATGGGATCTCAGTGGATGCAAGGCGAGGATTTAGCCCTAGATCACAAATATTTAACTATCTGCCTACACCAGAACCTCTGCCTTCTGACAGCACCCAGTCAGGGCAAAACCTTGAACCTTCCCCAAAAGCGTCTAGCACAAACCCAATGTCGTAGTGAGTCTTCTGCAACACCCTTGTATTGGGACTATCCACAGTTCCTCGTGGCATGTTCTCCGCCTTCGCTCAACAAGTCAGCAAACCCAACTTGGTTTGACTGCAGGTGTGTTCCCACGTGCCTTGAGCTGCAGGTCACCACCATATCTAAAACTGTGTTTTCCTTGCTTCTGTTATTCTTGTTATCTTTGTGAAAGCTTATAAATGTGTGTTTTTTGTTTACTCTTGGTCTGTCCCACCGTAATGTAAGTTCTATGAGAACAGGAGTTTTGTTCCGTTTTCAGGAAGATAATCTGTGAAAGGTGAATTAAAATAGTAAAGACAGGATTGTAATAGATTCACTGAAGTTTGTCGGAGGGTCAGTGTAGAGGCTTTGAACGTGAAAAAGGTTGCTGAACATAATGAGGCAGGAGTTGGACTGAAAAGCGTTTCTGATGCGGAGTCTTGAGAATTTAGTGAATTACTCGTGAAGCGAATAGAGGAAAGGAAATGCTAGAAAGGAAATGAACCTCCTGTACTTATGTGTTTATATGATGCATTTCTCTGTATAACAATGCGGCAAAAAGATGTATTCTATACTATAAAATATTTAGATATTTGATTGATATTCCAACCTGGGATAGTTTGTTAGGACATAAAATTTGCACTGAAAACCAGCATATGTACATGTCAAATGTTGTTAAGCAGTTGAAAAGGCCTTCTCTCTATTCTTTGCAAACACAGAATAAACTTGTGAACTGCATATTTGCTTAAAAGATACATATACTGACAAAAGATGTTACTGCCTGCACTTGGGTAATTGTGATTGTGATGCATAGCTAGAGCATTCTGTACCACCAGATATTAGGAGAGCATGGTTCATGTGCCATTGATCCCACTGAATCTAGGTACATGCACTGGATGGCCTAGCAGGGCACTCTGGGAGATAGAAGACTCTGGATATCATGAAGCACCCTGTGTGTTCAGTAAGCTGTTTTTTATACTTAGTGGAATGTGTTTTTGCTAAAATACTTGAAGTCAAAATGATAGAGAAAGAGAAAAGTTATCAGAGAAATTCCTGAAAAACCAACCTGTACTCTTGAAAAGTTTTTCAGACCTTGACAGCTCCTTCCTTCATTCTGCCCTTAACTGATGCTGGTCTTCCAGGTCTCAGCCATCACCTCCATTCAAGAGCTCTTCCATTCATTCCCATCTCAGCAGTTTCCACGGGTTACTTGAGCAATAGCAGCCCCCTTGTGCCCATAAGTGCACAGATCCCCAAGCCTGTCCTCTGGTGGTGTGTTGTGCTGACCTGCGGACAGCCCATCTGGGACACATGCACACTCATGCACAGGTCCTCACACTTTGTTCAACGGTGTGCCAGCTTCTGCTCCTCCATATATCCTTTTTTTTATAGAACATTTATTTATTTTTATTGCAAGTTATATAGAGAGAGGAGGAGAAATAGATAGGATCTCCCATCCGTTGATTCACTCCCCAAGTGACCACAACGGCCAAAGCTGCATCAGTCAGAAGCCAGGAGCAGGAAACCTCCTCTGGGTCTCCCACGCAGGTGCAGGGTCCTGAGGCGTTGGACCGTCCCTGACTGCATCCCCAGGCCACAAGCAGGGAGCTAGATGGGAAGCGGGGCTGATGGGACCAGAACCGGCACCCATATGGGATCCCTGTACATTCAAGGCAAGGACTTCAGCTGCTAGGCCACCATGCTGGGCCTATCCTCACATATCTTAAAAAGAATAACAACAAAAGCCCCATAAAACGGAATTGGCAACTATGCTAACACACTGGCATAGTTAACACAAATTTGGCATTAAGCAGGCCCAAGATGCCTG